ATGAGCTTTATTATAAAATACATACTCTAGTAGACAGCAAGGTTACACTCTTAGTTCTATCTTATTAGCTACATGAGCTTTATTATAAAATACATACTCTAGTAGGCAGCAAGGTTACACTCTTAGTCCTATCTTATTAGCTACATGAGCTTTATTATAAAATACATACTCTAGTAGGCAGCAAGGTTACACTCTTAGTCCTATCTTATTAGCTACATGAGCTTTATTATAAAATACATACTCTGGTAGACAGCAAGGTTACACTCTTAGTCCTATCTTATTAGCTACATGAACTTTATCATAAAATACATACTCTGGTAGACAGCAAGGTTACACTCTTAGTCTGATCTTATTAGCTACATGAGCTTTATCATAAAATACATACTCTGGTAGACAGCAAGGCTACACTCTTAGTCTGATCTTATTAGCTACACGAGCTTTATTATAAAATACATACTCTAGTAGACAGCAAGGTTACCCTCTTAGTCTGATCTTATTAGCTACATGAGCTTGATTATAAGATACATACTCTGGTAGACAGCAAGGTTACCCTCTTAGTCTGATCTTATTAGCTACATGAGCTTGATTATAAGATACATACTCTGGTAGACAGCAAGGTTACCTTCTTAGTCCTATCTTATTAGCTACATGAGCTTTATTATAAAATACATACTCTGGTAGACAGCAAGGTTACCCTCTTAGTCTGATCTTATTAGCTACATGAGCTTGATTATAAGATATATACTCTGGTAGACAGCAAGGTTACACTCTTAGTCCTATCTTATTAGCTACATGAGCTTTATCATAAAATACATACTCTGGTAGACAGCAAGGTTACCCTCTTAGTCTGATCTTATTAGCTACATGAGCTTGATTATAAAATACATACTCTGGTAGACAGCAAGGTTACCCTCTTAGTCTGATCTTATTAGCTACATGAGCTTGATTATAAGATACATACTCTGGTAGACAGCAAGGTTACCCTCTTAGTCTGATCTTATTAGCTACATGAGCTTGATTATAAGATACATACTCTGGTAGACAGCAAGGTTACCCTCTTAGTCCTATCTTATTAGCTACATGAACTTTATTATAAAATACATACTCTGGTAGACAGCAAGGTTACACTCTTAGTCTGATCTTATTAGCTACATGAGCTTGATTATAAAATACATACTCTGGTAGGCAGCAAGGTTGCACTCTTAGTTCTATCTTATTAATCATAAAAGCTGAATTTTTGAATTTTCATTCTTCTGAACACCAAAGCCACGTTTGGTTGCTACAAGCAATTGTTAGAATATTCCAATAGAAGTTAGAAGAAAGATTACCCAGACCTAAAAAGAAATGTAGGCGAAAGAAATATCGTGTCTTTGATGAAAAATGTTACGAGAAGCGGAAAAGAAATTGTATTTCCTGGTTGAACGGATAATTTATATTAACTGTCCAAACACACCAGAGCCCATACATAGTTTCTGGCAGTGCTCCTCTGTAAGAACCAGTGACTGCATATCCTCTCCTTTTGATCTTATAATTTTGGTGATCGACTCTTTCGCTAATCCCACATCGTGAACTGTGTGCGGACCCTAACCTGTTTGTTCGCCCCAGGGGATATTATGAAAACATGAATGATTTTATTAAGTGATTTAACCGGCCTTCATTTCCTTATTCAAAATGGCCTGTCATACATCAACTTAGAAGATAAATTTATTATCAAAATTATCATTTTACTAAAAATACAGTTACCGAAATGACCATAATATGTCAAAAGTTGAAAAAGACTGGAATGCCTAAAATCTATCACGTCTTTGTCTCTTCATTTTTATCATTAATTTGTGTTTTTTCGTAAAATAACGCCTGGTTTTAAAGGAATTGTAAAAGCGTCAATATTGCAAACTCCCTTGGATATTATAAGCAGCGTGTGCAATAGTGATGACAAAAAAACTTAGTTATAGTGGCATTGCAGGAACCCAAGACATCTGACAGAAAATTGGAATGGTACAAATTGATGCTATCAGTGTCCCTTCTACACATAAAACGTATAGAAAAACACGTTTACAACGCCTTGAAAAAACCTAAGCATCTCTTCCACGGGGTACAAATTAATAATATTATATTTAATATATTTTGTTCCATGTATTATTGGTATTTCTACCACCTAAATGTTCTAATTAAGATGAAAAGTCTTGTAAATCTGGTACCATTTTTACGAAAGCTGCTTTTCAGATTGAATTGAATTTGCTCTGTCATTGTGACAATATTCAAAATTAGAATATAATTTTTCAAAAAAAAACAATGGCATTTAATTATTCTAGTCCCGTGCCCCTGAAGGTTAAACATGTCAAGTCGAAATTCAGACACGTACCATAACTTACAATAGTCACGATCATCGCGTCGAAACCGGTTTATTTTCGGTGTTATATTTTTAATGGGACAATTAATGATATCGGACTGGTTATGCATGAAGTAATATTTTCGGTCGCATCCTAAGAAAAAGGAGCTCAGGCCTCCTAACCAGTTTTCTCAGTATGTGGAGTCATTTCCTTTTCGTATTCATCCTTGTTTCTACTGACGGTGCTTGGAACAACAGGAAAAATAGTAAGAATATCTATTTTAAATCTTATTTTGAAATTAAGTGATATTATATCAACTTTATATGACTTTTTGAATGTAAATTAATGTTCATGATATTTTAATAGAAATGTGTTTGTGGATTTCACAAACTTTGATTTTAAATATCACTATCAAAGTTAAGCTAATAACGTATGTTTTATTAAATGCTGAATTTTGCGATAAGATTTTGATTTTATGTTATTTTGAGAATGTAAATGTCCATGCCATTTTGATAAAAATATGTTTATGGTTCTCGCAAATTTTGATTTTAAATGTTTCCATCACAAATGCAGGTAGTAGCATAAGAATGCAATATTTGTGAAAATGAGAAACTAATCTTTTCATTTCTGATGAATATGATAATTTAATGCGTTTTGAAATTGTAAATGTCCATGATATTTTGATAAACATATTTTTATAGTTCTCGAAAATTTAGATTTTAAGATATTTCCATCACAAATATAATTAGAGATTTTCACTATGCGAAAACTTAAATACGTATTATGTTCTTGAGGACGACGTCGAAACGTTGCATAAAACTTTAACCAGTGATTGTTGTTCTATAAAGTTGTGTCTATATATTAAATTTGTATTCTCGATGACATTGGGTCGACCATATAATTCATTCAGAGAGTTCCAATAGCTGATATTGCTCGGCGATATTGGCGAACACGGCACAGAAACCTGACTGAAACGCAACGTAAATATCTTGATTTTTGACTTGACATAAAGCAAATTAGAACTTACAAATTTCAAAGGAATACAGATAATTGATGTGGTTTTTAATGAAATTATAAATTCTCACGGGAACAATAGAACTACACGATATGTCATGTAAGGTGTCAACCTAACTTCAAATTGTGCAATTTAGGAGTAAACTGTGCTCTTGTAAACACATGATGCATCAATGTTGACAAGCATTATCGCTGTTGTGTACATTGTTACTTCATGGCGGATAGATTGTTACTGCTTAGGGCTCAAAGAGTGCTATTTACTCACGAGGAGAGAAAGAATACTACAGTCAAGGAAAATTGGATTGCCCCCTGAAAAGAATATGACAACCGACCAATTCCACTACTGCAACTAAATATCATACATTATTGCCCCTACAGATATATTACTTGCCCCTCCGGATATATTACTTGCCTCTCCGGATATATTACTTGCCCCTCCGAACAATCAAGTCTAGTTACGGGCTTAGTGAGAAACAACGAACCAAATATATTTTACAAGGATAACAGCTTAGGTTCACAGTTAACGATCCTTTCTACCAACTAGTTCATGACCAAACCCCTTGGCATTGATCTTTCCCGGATTATCCGTACCCATGTACAGCTGGGTAGACTGGAATTATGAGTAAACATAACTTATTCATGATCATCGTTGACAGAACGCACAATCAAGATCGTAATTCACGCAAAGGCAGCATGGAGTAGGTAAATGCCACTGCCTTGACATAGATAATCAATTTTGCACACTGCATGAAGTTGCCTGTCTTCATCAACCCAATCCGATCTGAAAAGTAGGACGTAAAACTCCCATCCAAGTCACTAATAACAGTAGGCTAATAAGAATAAACGCTATATCAATTGCTAATATTCATCTGTATGTTATTTTTATATATGGGTTTTTCGTATGTCACAATTTTATCCATTAAAGAACAAATGATTATTACGTCAATTTGAAGGTCAGTTCGGAGGAAATTCAAATCAATCGAAAGCCAGACGTCATCTTTCATACATTGTCGCGCCAAAATTAATCATGACGCTATTGATCTCATAGTCCGAAACATTCTTCTCCATATATTGATCACAGATTCAATTCTAATACCCAAAAATGGTTTGTGGTTTCTAATCAGGGCTGGCATCTTAAAGTCTTGTGACTTTGAATATGTCATCTTTTGTTCACTATTCCCAATTGTAAGAATGGATAAGGATAATCCGGGAAAGATCTACTCCAAAAGGTTTGGTCAAGGACCAGCTGGTAGACAGGAGCCATGTGAACCTAAGTTGTTGATTATAGCTTCTTTCTCCCTTTCTGTGATGGTCATTGTGATTTTTCTGATTCATTTTGTCGATGTATGTACGTTAATTGTAACTTGGATAAGAACGTAAGCCTCTTTGTGATTTGGACTATCTAAGTGTGACCCCTATTAAAAAGACTAACGATCTGACGAAAGACAAAACTTTCATTTTTTTTGTCATGCCTATCTCCTTTTTATTTTATCGACGTATGTATTTGGATTTCGGACGATCTTTGTGACCCCAATTAACAGACTAACGATCCGAGGGTAGACAAAGTAAATCTAAGTTTGGGTGTCATTTCGATTTTTTTCTGACCCTATATATCATGATGAGCGACGTTTTGAAGTCTATAACAATAGTTACGGGCAAAGATTAAAGACAAGCTAAGTGTAACATCCCAAACCGTCAAGTCATTAAACGTTGATCGTTATTGGTTGCCTAACGCGCTCGCACAAAATGAATGTTTGATCAAAACGTTTCGAAATGTTCGCCGGCGAACATCATTAAATTTCGTGGATATTATCTTAGTCAAAGTATTTAATTATTTAAAATGTTGAAGTTTCGATTAATTTTGACTGTGTTAACAGTATTATTAATAACTGTGAACGGACAATTCGGAGTAAATATTGAAAATAAGAGTTCAACGTCATCATCTAAAAGTGGTAAGTTTTTAATGCGAACATGTACATTGCACATTGCTGTGTTCTTTACATTTGGAAGAAAAACTGTCATTAAGATCAATGAAAGGAAGAGTGATTAATGTTTGTTTAATGAATTGCAATAGGCTTTAAAACGTTTTATGTGTATCGGGGACATTGATATCATCGATTTGCACCATTCTAATTTGCAGCTTTTACTTTTTGACGTCAAAGAATGCTTATTTCTAATGGAATTGCAGGAACTACAAAAACTGTTACCATTTCCGGATTAAAAATCTTCTTGGCTATTACCGAAAACTAATAATTTCTAATAAGGACATATATATTAACAATCAAAAAATAATTTGTTACAGCGTATTCAAATTAAATATAACTTAAAATTAAGTTATCAGCGATTGCTTAGGGTACAATATGCCGCACATTGAAAGTATGCCATAAGACACACAAATTTACAAATTAGAAGGTCATCGGTCAAACAAGTTATTTATCTATTATTCATTACTTTATAATGAATTAATTTCAAATTATCTTTTCAATTTTTTCATTCATTCATTCATTCATTCATTCATTCATTCATTCATATATCTGTTTATTTATTATTGAGAGAGTAATTTTATATACTCACAACTATAGTATTATTTACATTAAGTTTGTTTATATCATAATTATATACAGACTTTTTATGCGAAAACGAAAGTAGATTTATTCTACAATTTCAGATAGACTTACTGATTTAAATATTTTGAAATAAACTCAAACAATGTATGTTGAGCAGTTTCTTTTTCTTTGTAAAATGAAAATGACCTTTGTTATTGCATATAAGTCACTCACGAACTGGAAATATTAAGAAAGAATATGCAAAAATAAAGATTTAATGAAATTTTATTCATGGAAATGATTTGTGTTACGTTACGACTTGAAATCCAAATCCAATCTAACTCAAACATTTAGTTCTTGCTAATGATGTACATGAAAATCATAACTGTTTTTGTCTCATTTCAGCAGCTTCGAAACCCAGTGGTAATTTCGCAATCCCCACCGCACTACGACGTCCAAATCCGTTTTTACAGAGGCTACCATCGGCAGCAGCTGACCAAGAGGCTCTGTTCCAGTCCAAAACTGCTCAGGCCCAACCACAACCCAGTGCCCAGCCTACCAACAAACCATCTTTTCAGAATGGGCAACAGTCGGGAGGCAATCAACCAATGTATCCCAATCAACCCGACCCCTATCAGACAGGGTCATACCAAGGGCCCTATAATTCGATGAACTCAAACAATAATAATCCGCCGACCATGGCAGGGCCTGTCCCAGCTGATAGAATCTCTTACCAGCCGGCACCGAAAAACACAGTTCAGAGTGGTTACCAACAACCCATGCCTGGTCAACAATCCATGCAGGTTCCCAACAATGGTCCCTCCCTACCGGCTGGGCCGAGCTATGACCTACACAATCAGTACCCACCCCAACAAAATGGGTATCCACCACAGCAACAAATGCAAGAACCTCATTTCTCTTCTCAATATCAATCACAGTTCCCACAATACAACCAACCACAATCTGGTATGCAACCACCAATGACTTTAAATTCTCCTGCTGGTCCAGTCCAAACACCCGGCTTCAACGATCCAAATGGTAAAGGATACGATGCATTTGGTCAGCCATCTTATCCTGCGTATGAACAACAGCCACAAGCTCAACCAGGTGCATACCAACAACCGCAAACTCAACCGGGTGCATATCAACAACCACCAGCTCAACCTGGCGCATATCAACAACCACCAGCTCAACCTGGCGCATATCAACAACCACCAGCTCAACCTGGCGCATATCAACAACCACCAGCTCAACCGGGTGCATACCAGCAACCACCAGCGCAACCAGGTGCATACCAGCAACCACCAGCTCAACCAGGTGCTTATCAGCAACCGCAGACAGGAGCATATACACAGCAAAGTCAGCCACAAACTGGCGGATACCAACAGTCATACGTTGACCCAAATCAGCAATACCAGACACAGCAAGGCCAATCACAATATCCTCAATACCAGCAACCTGCAAACCCTGCACAGCCTACCCAAACGTATGCGGATCCTAGTGTACCAATTCCAAGAGTGCCAGGGCAGCAACAACCTTACGACCCACAAGCTCAACCTCAGGGAGTCCCAGCTACTGCTCCAGCACCAGGCAAGTACTTAACATTTCTTTTCTAGCTTCTACCCAATCCTTAACAAGTTCCTTTATACTTTACACGGGATCGTGGCAATCCTTCAGAAGCTTCGCTAGTGATTTAGATTAAGTACCTTAAAGTGGAAGTATGTGCCCGTTTCCGAAATTATCTCCCTTTGGTACTCAGATATATCAAATTCGGTAACATTGTAAAATCATTATGGTTGTTTATTAATTTCAACAGAGGGAATAGTCATTGGTGACTTTGAATGATTGTCTTCTTGTAACTTTTTAAATAATAGTCCGATCTTCCAAATTTGTTCATCATAACGTTAAGACTATAATAAAATATTTCCAAACACCAAGTAAATAGACACATACTTCGGCTTGTATCCCCATGCTTGTGCATTCTGCTATTTCTGAAACCCGGCATTTTGCTTTTCTCACTAGTCCATGTTCATCTCACAATGTTCAAGGTATTATGAACGTCGTCTTAGACCTCGACTACAACAGCCACTGTAGTGTTCTTGTCTCAGGGATGCAGCGATTTGGTTGGATTTTACGACAGCGAATACAGCCAATCAGACCCCTCGACCGAAAGAAAGTAACCATTATGCCTTATTATCTACAGGCATTCTGTCGGGGGCTCCGATTGGTTGTATTCTCAAACGTACAATCCAATCAAATCACTGTATTTACAAACTTCCGTGTTACAAAAAGTGTCTATTGTAGTCAAGGTATAACACGAAGTTGGTAACAGCTTGACATTGTTAAGATGGACCATGTAAAGCACCTGTGCATTGTGTATGTACCATTTACAACACAATAGTAATTTTTTTTAATAATTATGCAATGATCACCCCTTGCTAAAAAACAAGCCTTGCCCTAAAATAATGGATAGAACCCTTTTGGTTATAGACCTTAACAATATGGCAGTTATTTTAGAATATCTGATCTAGAATAGGATCAAAATACAGTTCGTGATATTTCGTTTTGTGTTTTTTCTGTGGGCAGCTCATTCTAGAAATAATTCAAGTTGAACTTATTAATACTAAATAAAGAAAACCTTCAGTATAATTTGGCATACACTCCTAGTCAGTGTCTAGTAATAAATGTTCCAAAATTCACCAGAAGTGGTTGTGAGTTTCCCACTGAACGAAAGGGGGCTTTGAGTTGTTGTGCTATTAGACGAACTTTTCGAATAAATGTATTGATAACCAAGGAACTCACAGAAGATGTTCGAATCGAAGTATCTAGGGCTGAATTTTACTAGTTCGCAATTTAAATTTAGAGAAGCCTTAAAGGTCTTCTAGAATTCCAAATGTGATTAGGAGGTCAACACCGAATGCAGGAGGTGTAGGATTTGATTCCGAACAGAAGCATAAGCTGGCCCTATCATCGTTGTATTGATGGCTTATTATCTGCATCCATATTTGTGGTCGTTCGTATGAAAGCTTCTGTTTCGCTTTTGTGGTTATTTTAAAAGAAAAAAGCATTGGAAAACATTGGGCTATGTATACGTATCTTGGACACGTTGTTTTTATTTGCACCTTTTCGGTTTCTCTTCCAACTAACGTCAGTGAACAAAATCAGGGATAAATAAGAGAGCAAATAAATGCTAGAAATGTCCTCGATACACATACAAAGTCTAGAAAACCTCTTTACAATCCTTAAAGGGGAAACTTTTGTGCTGTTTTATCTTTTGTATGGTACATGTTTGCTGCTTTCCAAATATTGTTTTCAGCTCATGGCATCGACCAGGTCGTTTTCTTTGTTGTATTGTATCAAACATTAACATTCTAAAACTATATTTACTTGCTCCCGCTCACTGATCGAACTCAAAACCAGAAAATAATAATCTTGATGAAGTTCTAATGGGAATATTAGACCTAATTTTAGACCTATTATAACACTTTGTTATTCTAACCATGCTTTAAATTCAATGTATAAATATAGCCTCCTGGAACCAGCAACCTGTTGATACACCAGCTTATGTCCCTTATGAATACGCCCAGCCTCAGCCTCAACAAAACCCAGCCCCTGCTTACCCAGCTCAACCAAGCGCAGGATCCCCTGCGTACCCTGCGCAACAAGGAGCAGCCCCATATGATTATTCAAGCCAAACAGTAGTCCAACAACAACAAAACTACCAGCAACCAAATGCCTACCCACCTCAAAATGCTGCTCCAGTTGTGTACGACCCTCAGCCAGCTGGGAGGGGGGCTCCAGTCCAGACAGTGTATGTCCAGCAGCCGGCAGTATACCCAACGAATCCTAAGGCACCAGCTCAATATCAGTACCCACAGCACGCTCCAGCACCAGCAGGTCCCATTTACTCTACATACAAGCAAGCAGGCGCCCCTTACCACCAACATACACAAGGTGCTCACGTTCATTCACATTATCCGGGTCAATACCATGCTCACCCTGCACCTACTGTCCCAGCAATAACCACTACCACCCCTGCTCCGACTACTACGACTGCGGCTGCTCCTGCCGGAGAAGTTGAGGTAGAGGGACCTGTGACTACACCAGCGCCCATTACGACTACAACTGCTGCAGCTCCAAATCTTACGGCCCCTTTCGTTCCTTATGGTAAGAAAAATGCATGACCATCTTGAATTGCACTGCACTCGTGTAGTTTTAGCCTAGTTTTGTTCTGTCTTGTGTTGTGGTCCTGTTATATTAACATTAATATGGTGGTAGGGTTCTTTGTACTGTTAACTGAAACATTTTAAGTGGTTTTTCTTAAAAAACCAGGAGGCCTCTATGTATTGTCCAATTTTCAGCAGGGCAATTGATGATACAGTAAGATGACAAGGTATGACAAAGGGTTGAGAAGAACCCTTTCTTATTTCTGTACACAGTGTGACTTTTTCCTAAAACGGTACATGGTTAGATAAAGATGCACTCTACCGTTGTAAAAATGGTATTCATAATCATTAAAACTCATAGGTTGAAAATAGTTAGACTTAAAAATGTATGGAATCTATATAAAAATATAAGTTTCTAGAGGAGCTTTTCATAAACTGCATATGTATGCATGTGGAAAAAGCATTCATTCATTTCACTGTATTGGAAATGCTGGGCAAATACCGTGGTATCTACTGAAATTTATTTAGTTCCATAAAATAATAAATGTCGACATATCGTTCTGAAAATCTTAGTTTAAAAATCTTAAAAATTATGAATCACGAAGGAAGGTCATATTTCTGAAAAGAAAACTCATTTGAATAATGCAAAATGTTTTTACTTTTGTTAAGACTTTAATTTTGGGATGTTCTTTAAGATTTAATAAACGGTATACCAGCACCATTGTACGAGGCAGCGTTTGATCCAGCTGGGAGTGCGATATACTACGACTATCCTCCACCTCCGGTAGATTACCTACCACCAGGAGCACCACCGTCCGGTTTCCCTCCGGGAGGAGGACCACCTATGGATTACCCACCGGGAGGAGGACCACCTTTGAATTTTCCGCCACCAGGAGCACCACCAATGGATTTTCCGCCGCCAGGATCACCACCGATGAATTTCCCACCGGGAGGAGGACCACCAGTGGATTTCCCCCCACAAGGAGGTGCACCTTTGAATTTCCCGCCAGATTTGCAACCACCTCCTCCGCAACCACCTGCGGCTCTACCACCGGGATCTCTTCCCCCAGGTGATTTCCCAGCTCTTACCGGTGCTCCAGCAGACCTCGGAGGAATTGGTCCACCGCCACCAATGGACTTCCTGCCACCACCACCTCCGCCATTTGACTTGGGTGGCCCTGGAGGAGCCTACGATTTCTTACCACCGCCTCCGCCTCCGTTGATGGGACAACATGGAATGGGCTTTCCCCCTGACCCCGCTATGATGATGACTAATCCTGTCCCAGGTCAATTCCCGGCACCACCCCCACCAACTGCAAATATGGCTCCTACTTCAAACGTGGCCCCGCCGTCACCAACTGGTTACCCTCCTGGACCACCACCATCAAATCCTGGACCACCGCCACCAAATCCTGGACCACCACCACAACATCCAGGACCCTCACCACACAATCCCAGTCTCCCCTCAATCTTCCAAGGACCATCTCCGTATCCATATGCACCTCCACCAAATGAACCCCCTCCGATGCCAGGATCGTTCGCCTTCCAACCATATCCGGGTCCGGCAATGATGATGCCCGTCGCTGCTCCGGTAACTACTACCGTTTCACCAACTACAACCATGGCTGGAGAAATAGAAATTGAGGGACCGATTACCACGCCAGGGACTACAACTCCGGCCCCGACCACTGTTAGTCCGTGGAGATCGCAAGGGGGAAACCCTTACGTTCCTTTCCTCGGGAACAGACAGCAGCAGTTCTATAAGCCACCAAAACAAGTACAACTACAGAATACCCAATCAGCGACCATCAATAACATGGGTCCACCACCAGGTCAGGGTAAGCGAACCGACGCTTGCTGTGATATATATTAAACTTAATTTATCGCTGAAACAAATATATATCTTTATAATTCTCTTATAAATATATTATAAAGCGTATCAAGCTCTAAACTCGGCTGCTGAGACGTGAATGTAACGTCTTTATATATTGCTTTTCCTATAAGTATATTTTGTATGACCAGTTTCGGGTGCTTAGTAAGTCCATCTCTAGTCCGAAACATCTACCTCTATTCAACCCTATGAAAGTTATCGATTAGAGCTATCAGGGGCTGTAATAGAGGTAGCTGTTTCGGACCATGATGATTTGCCTTTGCCAAGGTTCGTAAGTATGGCAAAGCATGGTACTCATTCAGTGTGTGTCTTAGTTTCTTAGCTTTTAGCTTTTTTAAATCAGTAAGTATGGTGTGTTATGATATGAGCTATACTTGTCCAATATTGGCCCGAAACTGGTCTTCTAACGATGCATGAAAGCTGATATATAATCTTCAATATCTGCAATTCATTATATCGTGTATCAATATATTCAATCGTATATTTCTTGTAATCAAGTGTCGTTTTGTCATGGTTATTATGTTTCGTGGTGTATGTAGACATAGCTTAGAGCTTTGGTACTGTTGTTTCTTTAAGTTTCTGGGCTTTTTATTCTAATTTAAGGCTTCAATATGTTGCTTTTTGTGCATTCCCATTACAACTTCGTCTGTATTATTATTTTTGAAATCATTTCGTTTTAAATTTACTGAGCAAATAATTATCGTTACCGAGTTATAGTGTTTCATGCGCTTGTATATTGCATGCGTTAGCGTTGCGAAAACATTGCTTATGGCGCATTTTATTTTCAGCCTTTTCATCAACGTTTTCATACTCTTCGTTTCTATAGCAATTACTACTACAGCTGCTACAACGACGGTGGCTGCGGCAGGTGAATTCGAGGCGCCGGAAATGGAAGGTGGGGCGCCGGCATCACAAACGACCACTCTAGCACCAATCACATTGCAAGAATTGAGGCAAGCTTTTGCTCATAAAGCCGTGAAAAAGTCAAAGACTGTGTCTACGAATTCGAACAAAAAAACAAATAACCACATAAATTATTCTATCGAATCGCATGTGCCAGCACCCCCGCAAAGACTGTACCTTACCCAAGTGAACTATCAGAGATATTTACAACAGCGGGCTTTGAAAATGCAAGCAGAAGCCCAGGAGAGAAAAGCTAAGGCTCTTGCGCTTCAGCGTCAACGGAAGCTTCAGAGACAACGATATCGGGAACTGGAGCGTCAACGACTGCATTATTATAGACGTAAGACCATCCTAGTGACTTGCATGACTGGCTGTCGGTTTGCATGCGACTATTGGAATGACATCGAACCTGCATGCTCTGTTCCGGACTAATTCTTTTCTATCTATTCACAGGTGCTGATATTTCTGAAAAAAATATGTTATTTTGTTGTAACATCCACTTACAAGTTACATGCATTGTTCCAGCATGCATTCAGTATTCTTATATTGTTTCTATAGATTGAGAGACTTCTTAGTAATACCATATTTATTTATCTATTGTTTAAGCCAGGACAATCTATAGATATGCCATGTAAACACGCGAACACTTTTGCCAATACTCATGCACATATACGTGAAATGTTAATGCCATTGGTATTTGTTCAAGCGCCTCCAAATTCGTTCGTTTCACACTCATGCATATGCCTAATTGCGTTTGTTTTCATAGGACTGAAATTACAAATTACAATTCTATTGATTGATAAGTGAAGTGAGTTTTATTCTTCCGAGGCAAACAAATAGTTTGAGACTATTAAAATATAGTTTCAGCGCATCAAGTAGATATTCTGTCATTGCTTGGGTAGTTTAAGACTTCTCAATATTTCGATACTATATTACAACTCAAATAGTTCGAGACTCTGGGACTACTTATATGGCTTGAAACAATTTGACTTCCTTAATAGTTCCAACACTTTCTTACTGTTCAAAATAGTTGGACTTTGTTACAACCCAAATAGTTTGAAACTCCCAAGATAGTTTGAGACAACTTTGGCCATCCAAATATTGATATTGTTACAACCCAAATAGTTTGAGAATTTGTTACGACCCTGATAGTTCGAGACCTTGTTACAAACAAAATAGTTCCAGACCTTGATACAACCCAAATAGTTTCAGACTTTGTTCTTCGAGACTTAAGGACTACTCAAATAATTCAAAAATTTGATACAACCCAGTTTGGGACTTTGTTACAACTCAAATAGTTCGAGATTTTGAGACTTCGAGACCTTGTTACAAACAAAATAGTTCCAGACCTTGATACAACCCAAATATTTTCAGACTTTGTGTTTTCGAGACTTAAGGACTTCTCAAAGAGTTTAAAACTTTGATATAACCCAAATAGTTTGAGACGTTGTTACAACCCAAATAGTTCAGTTAAAGATATTTTAGGACTAAGTTACATTTTTGATGATTTGTATGCTTTTTTGTCATTTTAAGACTCTTATTGCCAATAAAGCTACTGTAAAGCCTATTGTGTTAAAAGGTTAACAAATATATCGTTAGACATCTGAGTTTTCACACCGGCTGCAAATTAAAGCAATTGCTGCTGCGGCTATTCCATCAGGAGAACTGGACTTTGGTTTCAAATTTTGAAATGTAGAACGGAATAAAAATGGAACTCTATTTTCTTTTAGAAAAGTTTACCTTGAACTGATCATTCTGGTGCGTTTATGTGGACATTGTGCCTACCACGTGCGTCACATGCAAATTGCTGCCGCGGCTATCCAATCAACAGTCGTTACTCGTTATCTGTGTGTTTCTGTTTCCTTTTGTGTTAATTTTTGCATGAGGGTGCATGATGTCAGCTTATTTTTAATTTCATTTACACTAATTGTCTATTTATAAACTATATGCATGTTTAATTATTTAATCTGGAACATAATCAAATTTGCACGCCCATATTTATTGGTTTCTCCGCGGTTGTATATACACGTGCGATCTCCCGTTGTATCAATTGACTATTGATCACGTGGCTGAAAGCACGTGTGTGTATCCTCCGCAAATACATACTATTTTTAAGGCGCGCTTAGTGCGTAGAACGCAAGCTCCTTTCAATTTATTTACGTTTTTTTAATTCTTATTGAGAAGTTTAGTACATAGCGTTCGAATTCAATTTAAGCCTATATGTAATCCTTCCACTGTTTGATAAATATGCATAACAGTTGGCATTTGAGTTATTTTCTTAAATCTATGGCAAATGCAATCTGGAAATGCGACAACCTTTTGAATGGTATTCAATGCCAGTTTTCTAGGTAGATGAATTCTTCTTGTTATATTCAAAATTAAGCGTAAGCGGCTGTAGAAATGTATATTGAACAAGTATTGAGCTTATTCCATAATGATAAGTCTAAAATAATTTTGGTAATGTTTCAGGTCAGCCGCCAGCGCCGGCGCAGTATCCTGGATACCCACCGCAAACTCCTCAAGGATACCCACCGCAAACCCAATATTATGATCCTGCACAACAACAACAACAACAACCACAACCACAACCACAACAACAGCAGCCTTATTATGGAGCTCCAGGTCAACCGCAGCCGCAGTACGTTCCCCAACAAGGTGCTTACCCACCTCAACAAGGCACTGGTTACCCAGGACAGCCGCAAGCAGCTGCTATGTACCCACAACAGCAACAGCAGCCCGGGTACCCACAACAGCAATATCAAGCTCAGCCACCAGCACAACCTGGGTATCCCCCACAGCAACCTCAGCAGCAATCCTACCAACAACCGGGATACCCACCTCAGACCGGGTACCCACAGCAGCCACAGCAAGCAAATGGATACCCACCTCAACAACAAGCCTACCCACAACAACCACCGCAGCAGCAAGGGTACCCATTCTCAAGCCCGGCTGCTAAATTCCCATCCAATAACCCCTACCCTCAACAAGCTGTCCAATACCCACCACCAGGACAAAGCTACGCCCCACCCAGATCGCAACAACCCCAAAACCAGGCGCCCATGTCTGGAAAAATTCAAGAATTGTTAACCAAAATAAGACAAGCTCAGACCCACTCCACCTCACCTACTAAAACAGTCGAAGAGAAGAATAAATGGAATGCTATCTTCCGTAAACTATGGGATATCTACTTATTTTGGTCAAATCTAAAACAATCCAATAAACAAACGAATTCAAGGTAAGATACGATTTTAGTTTGTTCCACTTTGGCCCTTAGTAGCTTTACGAAGGACGCAAATATAATTTCCCAAGGTACTTAAAGAAACACCTATTGCTACTTTGCAATTGGGTTTGTCGTTGTCAATGGTAGCAGCACACCCCCGAGAAAATCTCCCTTTTCCTCAAAATATTTTGACCCATGACGTAACAGTCGCACTATATTGACTCTGGGTACGAGATAATGTATTTCCTGATTGACCAATCGTGTTTGATACAGCCAATTGAGACCTCGGCACCCATCCCCTGGAGATCGTTGGCCAAGGTTTGCTCTTGGTTGGGCAGATGTCCAAGAGTGTGCCTTATAGGCGTGTTTTTTAGCTTTTGAAAAAAAAACATCAATCATGAGAAAATTTTGCGTCTTCTGTGACTTACTTTTAGCAGCTGTATGTGCGTCTGCTTGTATTATGTGTTATTAGCTGACTTTTGTAAACAAAGCTACAATCAAATTGGCGGGAAACGGACGTCAGCAGACGTCAATAATGACAAAGGTGTTCGAGTTGATTAATCTAGGCTAATATTTATTATGGAATACATAATGTGGCATTTTATTACTAAAGACGGCATAATATTATTGTCTTCTTTGTGAGGTTGGGAGTTTAATGATATAAAACTAACAGTTGAGTATTTGGGGTGGTGACCCGAGACACAAAAATGGGCGAGTTTCTCTGAGCATATAGGCCTACTCTACTACTTCTGGTTTGGTAGACTATGATGACCGATTCGGTGGGAAATTTTAAAGATCCATATCGCATTCATTGAGTAATGACCCCCTTTTAAATGTGTCCCCTATGGTATTGTTAAAATTTCAAATTTATATTTTTCAGGGGTATGGTAACGGCGTAAGATAACCTTGACCGAGGACAGGCAGTATTTGAATCCAGTAATGTGTCAGTCGAAGAATGACATTAATCATCTAGGATGTGTCGTGAGACAGGCTGTCCGCTTGAAGAGTCGTTTTTAAACGTAATATGTCACACACGTCAGACTGAAGTCGCTGTGTTTTCAGACATGTTTATAGCTGACATTATGTTTATTTATAGATGGATTTATATATTTACATGGGTGATATGACATTTTTACTCAGAAATAATAGATGTAATAAGTTAATAAAGGAAATGGGGATGACATGGTCGCCATTTTGACCATGGTTTTCTGTTCTGAAACTAGTTCAAAAAAGTTCAAAAAGTCAACTGAAATATCGTCACAAAATAACCCCCACATACATCATGATACAGTTTTTGAAAAAAAGGTACAATTCGGAAGTCATGTGTTATAATACTCTAAAAAATGGGATTTAAAAAAGGACATTCATCAAAAATAACGATGTCGGTATATTAAATTATGTACATAAGAAACTTTGGAAATTATATTTTTCTACCAATTAACCTTTGACCCTTATGAATATTTATGAGATCAATTTTTGTATTCCGATTAAGAAAAGAAAGCAGAAATAATTCGGTATGTTGACCTTTGACCAAACCCTTAAAACAATAATTGACTTTGGTTTTTTTTTTTGTAAAGGTCAAAGTCTCCATTAGTTTAACCTCTTGCCCCATCTTGATAACTCTGTGGTCCCTCAACCTGATGTTTCCTAGATTCCACTAAATTCTGCAAATTATGCTTATGCCTGGGCGATTTGGGGTCCAAAGTAGATTACGAGGCTACTTTTCTACAGAGTTGATGTCAAACCAAGTCCGAAAGTAGCTGACTATGACTAGCATAGTAGCCTGATGTTGGTAATCATTCATAGGCCCTATTCGTCTTAACAATATCAAACTATTACCAACTTCGTCTTATACCTTGACTGCAATACCCACTCTATACTGTTTCTCTAGCATATAATCCAATCAAACCACTGAATTCTGTGATACAAGAATGGTGTCTAAAGAGGTCAAGGTGTTAGACGCTTGTTTGTGATAGTTTGATATTGTAAAGGTGATCTATCGGGCGAGACTAGTTTCGGACTATTTGTAATGTTGCTTATTATTGACGATGGTTTGGAAGTAGGCCTATTGAGCTAAAAGTCAATGGTCAAAGCAAGTCCTCAAAAGTCAACCTTTAAAACCGAACTAAAATCAATCTATAAAACTCAACCAAAGTCAATCTAATAAACTCAACCCAAATCAATCTTTAAAACTCAACCCAAATCAATCTTTAAAACTCAACCCAAATCAATCTTTAAAACTCAACCTAAATCAATCTTTAAAACTCAACCCAAATCAATCTTTAAAACTCAACCCAAATCAATCTTTAAAACTCAACCAAAGTCAATCTAATAAACTCAACCCAAATCAATCTTTAAAACTCAACCAAAAACAATCTATAAAACTCAACCCAAATCAATCTTTAAAACTCAACCCAAAACAATCTATAAAACTCAACCCAAAACAATCTATAAAACTCAACCCAAAACAATCTATAAAACTCAAACAAACCAAAACAATCTATAAAACTCAACCAAAGTCAATATACAAAACTCAACCAAAGTCAATCAACAAAACTCAACCAACAAAGACAAAGTCAATCTAACTCAAAACGCAACCAAAGTCAATCTACAAAACTCAACCAAAGTCAATCTTCAACCAAAGTCAATCTAAAAAAATCAACCAGAGTCAGACGAAATCTGCAGAAATCTGTTGTCAAATTTTGGCTAGAAATAATATATTGCAGTGAAATTCTCTTGATTTAATTATATAAATCATTATCTCCCTTGACGTTAAGTTTAACGACGGTCGTAATTTACACAAGTCAAGTTCAGCCCTAATGAGATGGGAGATAACTCTTTTTTGTTTACATAGGTGACAGCACTAACAGCGTGTATCGCAACCAGTCGATAGACTGTAAACATTACCGGCTTAAATTATTAATTTCGTGATTAACGAAGGGGATAATAGATATTTCAGGATGTCATTAGTTCAGAGATTTTCTCTGGCACCAGGATTTAATCCCGACAGAGTGGTGCCAGCAGTAAATAGTGATTATTTCGCTCTGCCGACTACACGAACCACAGTCGGGGTTTGGTCATTCGACAAGCTCGAACATCGTCACAAGCCTCTCGAATTACAGGGTCATCGGCGGAGCATCTCGGCCCTTGCTTTTGGAAATAGTTGCGGTTCTGGACTCTTGTGTTCGTGTGCTGATGACTATGTTATCGTCTGGGACATTCCGAAATGTCAACGACATTTCGATGAAAGGAAATCCATACGAGGGGAGATAATCGCAACTACAATCGGCGAAACTATTCATTGTTCGTTTAGTGCAGACGACACATTGGTGGCCGTCTGTGTAGATATCGATGTCCATATTCTTAAATCGGATTCACAAACAACTGTAGCTCTTTTGGACGGACATTTAAGTCGAGTTATAGGGGCGGAATTCTGTCCTCACTACTCTTCAACTGTGGTCAGCATTTCGGAGGATGGGACTTTCAAAATTTGGGACCTCGAAAACAAAACTCTTGTGTATCAAAGCTGTGTCATTACGTCCTTTTCTCTAGTCAGTTTGTGTATGAATTGGGCAGATCCTACGTTTAGTGTCGGATCTTCAGACGGAGTCGTAAGAACTTACGACCTGACTGACGGAAATGATTTCCGAAAATTGCATCAGGTGGACATTGAAGGCATCGTTCGGAAGATGAATTCAACTAAAACTTTACAAAATGCAACGAAACCGAAAGATTCTAAAACTATCAGCAGTCGGGCGACATGGAACAAAACTGAAAAATTCATTCCGCAAATGGAGTACAAAAATGAGGGAGGGGAGTCGTATTGTGGGATAGTCGGGCTCTGGTATGCGTATTCCAACACACAGACGAACGCAGACGCAGACAAACCCGAGTTTCTGAGAAACGCCGTAACGGACGTAATATCCAACAGGCCAACAATTCTGATGGTATCAATAACTTCCGGTTTGCTGCAGATTGACCCCAAGACTTTAGAAACTCTGGAATATGTCGATTTGACCGAATCTATCAGAAGTGAGGGAAATTTTGCGTCTAATAGTGTTATTATCAATGCTTTGAACTATGCCTGCCTTTCTTATGGCAAGAATATTGGCGATGTTTGGATCGTAGCAGGAACGTTGTTTGAGAATCGAATCCACGTGCTTGACTGGACTTTGTCCGAAACGATGTGTCACGATGAGGAAACTGTGGAGAATCTAGACACAGCGATGGATTTACTTTCGTTAAATCCGGATTTGAATCCGGATAGAGACATGCGATCAAAAACCATGGAGCTATGTTTCATTGCGGTAAATCCTTTACGCGAAAATTCTATTCTGAATTCTAGATTAGAACCATTATCTAAAACAAAAGTGAATCCTCTGATGCGGAGAAAGCAAATGTCTTTATCGTCGACGAACAGAAGGAACTCCTACTCGAACCACACAACAACTTTCAAAAATAAGATCAAATCCTCGGGGTATGCCCAGCAAGGACCCAAAGCTAAATTCTTTCAGCCAAATGTTGGGAAACCTAAACAGACAACATTGATGAAGAGATCAACATCCTGCGATCCTGTTTTGCTAGTTCAAGAGTATCCAACTAAATGTGGTCCACCGGATGTACTTGTCCACCAAGAGAGTCTATCTGAAACCCCAACTCCGATACTTTCATTGCGTTTCTCTGGAAATGGGAACCATCTTGCTTGTAGCCTCGCCAACAAATTGGCAATGACGTTTTCTATGCCCTTGAAAAAGGCGGGAAGCGTTTTTCAGGGTCATGACGCAGCAGTTAACTCAATGGATTGGAGTCACGATAATAAGTTCCTGTTGACGTCATCGGATGATCGTTCTGTGATTTTGTGGAATGCTGCTTCCGAACCGATCATGAAGATGGCGACTATAAATAACAATTTCTCCTTTCTGGAGTCCGAGACTACGAATAAAAATAATCCGTCTTTCAGTAAAGAAATACGCCAGGCTCAGTTTTATTACATGGACAAATTTATCTTGCTGATAAGTGGTAACACGTTCTATATGTATAAATACTTCTTGGACCAAACTAAAGACGATATCAAACGCTACTTGACTAAATCCAAATACAAACTTGTGAAATCCTGGGCAACCGAGAGTCAATCGCTAACCGCTCTTGCGGCCATGAACTCGTTTTACTCTTACGTTGCGATCTGTGCCGGTTCGAATCGCAGTTTTGAAGTGTTTGATTTGAATGAAGGTCGTAGTGTTACTGTGGTCGAAGACGCACACGCAAGACCAATTCACGCAGTGTCTCTTAATGGAGGGTCTAACTATGTATCGCAGCCATCTTCTGCTTACAACGTTTTCGCAACCACAGCTGTAAGTGATTGCATCCGACTATGGGATATCAGAACGAAACGGTGTGTTCAGAGATTTGAAGGACATCAAAACAAAGCTCTCCAATGCGGAATTGCTATCAGTCCTTGTGGACAGTATCTTGCTTCCGGTTCCGAGGACAAGCTGACGTATATATTTGACATACGAACTGGGACATATTGTGAACGATTACGGGGACATACAGACGTTGTTTCGACCGTCTGCTATCATCCGGCCAAACCGATCCTAGCTTCTGGTAGCATCAATGGAAGTGTGTGTCTTTTCAAACCAGAACGATGGAAGCGCTGATGTATTCACAGTCCAAAACTTATCCAGCCTCGGATAGTTATTTTGACATTTGTTGTCCCCAACCGCTTAGGGAAGTTTTCGATAGCTCGATTGAGCTAATAGTTGGCATGTGATTTCGAACCCCGAATTCCAATAAGATGCTAATTTCGCTAACACCGTAGCCTACGCTTAGGGTAATTTCTCACATTTTCTCACGGGCATTAGAATTTTCGCTAATTGCCGCATGTTGCATCTACAGCAAACTTTTGTTGTGGTCATATTATCAGTATTTTTTTCACAACGATTCCACTGTGCCTGTTACTTGTAATGGATTGTAAAGAGAATTTTAAACTTTGGGTTTCAGAAATCCAATTTGTTTTTTTTATTGAATAAAATTCACATCACATGTTAAACGTCTTTTATTTTACGCGGAGGGGCACGTCCTTTCTGTCCGTGACATGAACTGTCGCATCGAATAAGACACGATACTACATGATGTGCACAAAATCCTTTATCTCTAGTAATCTATAAGAAAATGGCAAACATTTATCCCACATTTGATAAGAAACAGTGACATTAAGCGCTATATGGTCATCATATCCATGCTAAAAAGTGAGAAAATCCAATATGTTTTGAAGAAACAAATCTCAGTAGTGTTACCTCCCTTGTTTAGTTAACTCTCTAATTTCTAAGGCAATAAATACCCTCCATACATAAACTTCCGCTGACGTGCTAAATTTTGTTTTGTTGTCAATAAATTGATTATTTGGGTGCAGATTGTGAGAATTTTTGTAAACAAGAATGGCTGAAACGGGGCAAGCTCCCCCTATACAGAATCAGACCCCAGAATCTGTACAATCGGCGATCTCATCAGGTGAATTATTTTGAACCCACTTCCGTGGATCTCAACTTTCAGTTTCGTGTTGATATTCTTAAAACGTCACCCTTTTTGCCTTCAGCTTTCATCTCAAGATTTGCATCAGGGACCGATATGGTGAATGAATATCATTTGGAACCAGGTGTCACAATGAAATTAATTCCAATCAGCCCTCCCCAGTCTCATCAAACCCTCTGACTTAACCTGTCAATGACAAGGTAGACAACTTGAACTAGACAATTGAGTGACCCCTACTTGGGCCCCACACCTCACCTAATCATTTATAGAAATGCCAAAGATAGCATTGAAGAACTAGTAAACTGTTCGTTTTTGAAATTTCAACAGCTAAGGTCATAGTCTCTGATCATTATATAATTGACCAAGTTTTTAGACTCAATGCAGTTACCAGGCCCGTATCTAGCCCAGGGTATCAAATTTTTTTAAGGCGGGCTCATTTTTAGGTCATCTACATTTTTCAGGTGGGGAGGGGGGCAAAATTTTCTTTAGTGGGGCCTGAATATATACCACACATGGGAAAATCAATCATAATTCTACTTTCAGTTTTTGGAACTTTACAAGAATATGGTTGGTTTATTCTAATTGGACTAGTAGCGTTAATCTACATCAAACAGAAATTCCTTGACCCAAAAATACAGCAATTTACTAGTCAACGAGAAGAGAGAAATGAATACAAAAAATATGGTAAGAAATCCTTGTGCGAGAATTTCCCTCATACGCTCATAAGCCATATAAAACTTCAAAAAGCCTCTTTATGGTGTACGGAAGCTTTTAAGTGTACCTTTTGTCAAGAAGGGCTATTCATTATAAGCTTGTGCGTTATACTTGAAATTATACTGTATAACCAATGGGATATACATAGAAAAACTTGTCTAGGATCAACCCAGGTTTTAAGTAATATAGTAGTATGATTTGATACTCATAATCGGATGACTAGTACCAGATCATTCTAAGGGTAATTCTTGCAAAAAGAGGCAATAATTTTAGTGATGTATTTTTAGATAGTGATGCAGCACAAGAAAGAGTTGAGGCAATGGAGAGAGCCAGAAAGAAATTGCAGGATAAATTCAATCAAGAAGCTGCTGTGTTTGCAGAAGAACAAAAAAAAGTAGGCAATTGATTAAATTCTCAAAATACTACATATGATCGTTGATTTTAGGGGCTGTGATGTCTTACAATTATCCCACACAGCCTTTTGTGCTCTATTCAGTTATGAGATCTTCATCTTCTTTACATTTGGACAATAAGACATGAAGCATAAATGAACCATTTACTGACATTTACTGTCGTTTTTTAAGATTTTGTTTCACCCTAAAATATAACCAAGAAATTTTTGATGCCAAATTTAGCTTGTGATTAAGTAAAAGTTGTTGACCAAAGTTATCTATTTATTTTTTTGGTTTGTTATTTCTTGGCTATAAATTATATTAGCACCCATTTTGGACATCGCTAAACACCATCTGGTATTTTTCTTGCATTGATCCAATCAGATTGGCAGATACTAATACTAATTGTAGCCAGAAATAAACCTTGTAAGAAATTAATCTATGTTTTAAATGTTCTCAGTAACTCCGTAATTGGTCAGTAAAAAGAATATCCAGCACACCTGCTGAAATAGAACTAATATCCTTTAAAATTCTGTATATATTCAATTACAATTGATCAACAAGAAAAAGTCATGTTTCCTTTGCTAAAAAAGTATTTTAAACTTGCTAACTAGCCATTTAATTTATGGAAACTATTTATAAGGCAGTGGATATTAACCACTCCTATCAAGTACATTACCAAATATCACAGTTACATAGTTATAAATTAAAATATATTGAAACTTCTAAGATTAAGAGTCAAATTTAATCCCATTACCCCATATCCCTAAATAAATGGTATTGTGAGTCACGATTCGTGACTAATGTATTGAGATACGTTTCGTATCGTGGCATAATTGGTGATACCCAGCGCTAATCTCGATACATACTGTATCCTAACATGATGGGCAGTTCCAAGCATTACTGAATATATAAATATATATTTAATACCATTTTTTAAACATCAGCAATTATTAGTATCTTTATTATTAATCATTTCAGAAAGAGGAAGAAAAGAGATTGGCTAAAGTAGAAGATTGGGAGAGAGGTTATAAAAGTAAATATAAGGTGAGAAAACAATATTCTTTCACTAGAGTAATAAACCATATTTCTTTACAATATCAGCCACCAAGGGTTGTGATAAGGAGGAAGGATCGATCCTAAATGCTCTCAATGGTAATTTGGGATGGTGAACAGCTATTCTTGCAAAAAGAAAGAATTTACAAGAATAACAAATAAGGTTCATTAGGATCCTGTCTACCAGCTGGTCCTCAGTCTATTGGAATAGACGAAAGATGGTTTATTCAGATATGTAAGACTTTCCATATTCTGGAAATGAATTCAATGGTAACTTACATCTCTGCTTATTGAAAGCCACCAAACTTTCTTATGTAGACCGAGACTCATTAACCCTGTTTTATCTTGTGTATAATCATTCCCAAATAGTGTGCAAAATTTGTACAGGAAATGGATTAAAAATGAGTCGATAACAAATAACAATATATTTTTGATGCTACCATGGCAACAACTTGGTATTTATCAGTTTATATGATAGTATGGTATATTATAATTGAATTAGCACTAAACTCCGAGCAATAACATGTTTCAGGTTCTTTTTAAATACTTTTAATTGTCATATCAAAATAACAAATCGTTTCTGCATCTTCGATAATTAGCAAGTTATTTTAGGTTTGGGATGAGCACCAATCCCATCTCTAAAGGGGCTATTGCCATCACCATAATAAACTGGGTTCGGTACTCATAATCTCTTTCATTATTCACAACCATTCAACACAACATGCAATCGCTATGGTATGATGGCAATGTAGGGAAAATCCTCAAAAGACGGCAAAGCCAACCTATTCACTGGTGCACCTATAGTGGAAGGTCTCTGAACTAGGTCTAGTTGGCTCAGTGGTTGTGGCAAAAACATGCAGCAGAAGTACTGGAACAATATAATATCCCCCCAAAAAAACTGCTCTTACAACAATTGTCTTCACCCCCTACAGCCCAGTCCCACAACCCCAGGGGGTGAAAACACCGCAGGTTGGGAACCAGGGGATAGAGTGAACCACAGTCCCTTTATGTCTCTATGTATTGTTATGAGGACATAGTATGAATGACACTGTATTACAATCATTTTAACCTAGAAATAAAAGAGTTTTCGATTAGATGTCTGTAGAAGGCAACGCCATACAGTAAGGGCAATCAATCGCACTTTCAAATGTCTGCAAGGCTGTAGTGTAATTGAAAGTATATGAGGTATATTCCTCACTTTTGAAACAACAATAACAACTTTGATTGTGTAATCCTTGACCTTGATTGTTTGTTTATAGACGGAATATCTGTCTCTATTTTGAAGTGTCTGCTAATAAAGACATTCTTTGAATTTTTTATAATAAAAACAAACACAAAATTAATTGTTTTATCACTTTGTAATTTTTTGGGTATTTTAAGTGAAAATGTCATTTATTATCGTATTATTTAAACTGTTGAAACAGGAATTTTTTTTCATTGACAGCAAAAATTATGTTGTATTCTCATGACATGTGTAACAAAAAAAATTTAAGTTTGAAAAAATGCTTCACTGTCTATAAAAATGAAGAACATAACTTGCCATTTAAAATATGTTAATGGTTTTCAAAATTGTTTTGCTACATTATTTATCGTAATATGTCCATTAGTGCGTATATGTGTACACGTTTAAAAGGTGGAAGAATCATAGATGAGACTAATTTGAACTGTTATTAGCATGCTTGCTGTCTGTACCGTAGAATTTATATCAGTATTACAGCATCTATTTCTCAATAGAACACGTTAATTTATTTTTCATTGATAACTGGGTTGTTCGTATTCTGTTATGGTGTATTAAGACGAGTCTCAATGAAAGCACTGGCCTAGGTCATAGAGCAATAGATAAGTCTATTAACTGTATAATCGCGCTCACCATTTGCCCAATATTTTTTTCAGATTTGCTTGAGGGGCGAACATTTTATTTGAAGTTATAATTGTTTTTATACGTTTGACAACTAGATTGTTCATGTACTGTATATTTGCGAGTATAGCACTCACAATTTTATGGTGTATTGACATTTACTTAAGGGCAAGAAGTGGCATATATTTTATTGGATATTGTAGTTTTTGTGTACATAGATAGAGCTAATGAGGATATACAAAGTCTTGCTGTGTACATCAATGAAAATTTTGCCAGAACAACAGCATAAATTGAACTGGGTTTTTAAAGATGTACAAAATTCTTATTTTGTTTTTCATTGTAATAAAAGTAGGCCATATCGTGCAGTGTGCAATGAGGGAAATTTTGCCAGGACAGCAGCATAAACTGATCTGGTTATCTCTTTTTGTTCACTGGTAAAGTATACAGCAGTCGTGTAAGAAAATAAGACATTTTTATTTAACGTGTATTGCTCATCAATGACAAAAGTTCGTTAAAAATTATAAATTTATTTTCGGCCATAACGTAACAAGTTGTTGACGCCTTCAGTCTGGAGAGAATCATCTTCTAATTCTTCTTTGAGAACGGGGATGTATCCATGAGCTGGCATCCAGATCCAGTAGCTTTCGTCCATATTGCCAGATCTTTTCGCAGCCGGCTTAAAAAGGGATGAATATTTTTGATAAACGTTTGGTGGAGGAATAACTGGCATTTGTCCCGGACGTCCAGACAGGATGTACGCCAGTCGATTCTCGTGAGGTCGTTCTGGGACACTTTTCGTCGTAGCTCTGGTTGCCATGGTGATACCAATAATAAACAATAGCAGACCAAAGAGAATATTCTGATACACTGATGATGAAGACATTCTGAAAGTAGAAAAACAAAAACAAAATTGAATAAATGTGAAAAGTGTTATTGTTAAAGAGACTGTAGAACTTTTTTTTTCATTTGGGATACATACAACATTGATTTGAATCATTACGATTTTTAGTCAGACCTTTTTTCCACTTAAACTAAGTATGAAATGCTTAGTTTAAATAGTGGAATTGCAAAAACAATGGACATCAGGTTGAAAATTGGAATAGTGCAAATCGATGCTATTTTAGAAAACCTCCTTTGCACAAACATATTGGAAAACATATCTGTAGGCATTTTGCTTTGTTGATTTGTTTTGTTTTGAGCTTAATTTGGAATTTAACTCAAACAATTTAAATTTGTCTATAATTGGTAATTATCTTTACTTTAGTTATTAACATTCAAAGACCATTGTACAACAGAATTCTTTGTAACTATTTAACAATAAAGACGGGAACTAAGCCTTTAATCGGCTTAACATTTTTGAGTGTATTTAGGTTGAGAGTGGGAGTGTTTGGTAGCTTCTTTAAAACAGGAAGTTTGCTTAATCCTTTATCCCATTGGCCAATGATATATTGGTTTTTATTACAGGTGGAATCACTGTGACTGTACATTGCTATCTATAATTGGTTTTTTTTATTAAAGGCGTTGAATATATATAAGTAGTATTGAAAAACATAAGAACTGCATCAAAATCTCATAATCCCTTCAAAAATATCTCAAACTAGGAATTTCCTGTTCTATTGTTATATAAAACAGAACAGAAACATGTTAGTCCAAGTAGATTTAAAACTAAATGTTATGTTGAAAAATGTCCATAAATCACAGATTTTCTCTCTTGGCCCCCGCATGTTCATAAATTCATGACGTTATAATTCGTAATACCTTTTTAAAAAAAACAGTTGCGTAGGATAAGATCATCAGCCATGTGTGTTACGTCATTATGTTGGCCAAATACCTAGATATACAATCGAGGATCTTACATCATAATCATCTATACAATAGTTCTAGACTGTTTGATCTAGTCAAATAACAAATATCAGGGATTAGAATGAGAAGGTGGACTAGCTTCGTCATTCCCTTCCTACAATTGTTAAAAAGTTTCAATGCATTCTTATCTCAAAGTTAAATCCCAGCTTAGAATAGAATATATGGTAATATTGTGTATTTTGCTGTTGGCAGAAAGGCTTAGCAGGACTGACATCCTGTTTTAAAGAACTATCTTTAGTTTTATTTCTCGTTCTGGACAATGCCATATTGTTCCTGGAATAATTACAGAACAATGCCAGGACTGGGTTTCTGGGTTAGTCTTCAGAACAAAGATATTGGAACTCGTTTGAGTTTAAGTAAACAAATGCCCAGCCAGAATTTGAAAAAAAAAGTAATTGTAAAGAGGATTTTTAAACTTAAGAGAAGTGCTTTATGTGATACAATCATATTTTGTGATAAGTGACGTCATCAAACACTTATTTTTAGTGGAATTGAATGAACCACAAATGTCTGACTGAAGAAAATTATAATGGTACAAATTGATGCTATCAGTGACCAAGATAAACATAAACAATGTAGAAAACTTCTTTACAATCCCTTTAAGATCAGATTTTATAGGCATGTATATTAGAACTCTTAACAGCCTAGCTTAACAAATCTTGCATTACTTGTTTCCCAGTCATAATATACAGATATAATATTGTAAGGCCAGAATCAAAAGGTCAGACTTTATGGGAGTCGTTTAAACCCATTTTTGGATCGCTAGATTTTGAGAATTTTCACCATGACAATAGCCAAAATCACAAGCAATTAGGAACAAGTAGGGCTAGATTTGTTGGGCTCTTATCAGGTCAATAAACTGTCATAGTTGCAGGGTTTTATTCGAATGAGCTGTGAATGCTTCCAGAAATGATGTCAGCAATGAACTATTTCTGTGTTTTTCTGATTTGTTTCTGTGATTATGTGGTTTGTTGGGTTTCTATGTCAGTTCTCTTTGTTTGACTAGACCTAGTTCGTTAAGCACACTAGACCTGGTTTCTGTATGTGTAATGACCATGTTATAATTAAAATGCCTTGGGTACTTAAAGGAACTAATCAGGTTTTTAGGAATTTGTGTGTACCAGAACATTGGTAATTACAGTCAGGTCTTGTTCGATGCCAAGTTGACAAACCAAACAACATTAGCTATGTGCTTGAAGATTATCAAATAAGAACACAGAGAACTTGATCTATGCCAAGTTGACAAGCCCTGTAACTGAAAAAACTCAAGCTTTGTGAACTCTCTAAAACAGTGGTTCAGTCTTCACAAACCTGGAGCAATCACCTGGACCTTTCTCCTTCCAAAAATTTGTCTCATCCACATTTTCAGCATGTGTCGATGTGAGGTGTTTTCTC